CAGATTTAGCAGGGAGAGAAATAAGAGCTTCCTATTATATTCAAATGATATTTCTCTTGCTTTCTTATAGAAAAGGAAGCCATCAGCAGTTATTTTAGTCCTCCTTGACCTAAAGACATCTGCAAGTGCTGACACTGGAATGCATTAATGAGAGGAAAGAGAAATCACTATTGAGTCTTTTTAAAGTATTAACTGCAATGTGATATCTCATTTTGCCAACCTATTGTACCCTTAAGTAAGAATTACAATTAACCAGTTAACACGAGCCCATTGGGTCAGGATGGTAGGGCCCAGAATTGTGTGTATGTGCGTGTGTTTAGGAGGGGACAGGCAATTGCCAGGAGGCAGGTTCTAGGCAGCATGCAAGAAGTGCTGCAAAGGAAATGTGAGTAGTTTAAGGTGTGGTGACAACTGCAGGGCAGAAAGATAACACCGTCCCAATGACCGTATAGCCAATCAAATACAGCTAGGTGGTTCCTTTATGCCTAACACAGTGCTGCCATTACAGCTGGTGCAATGGCAAAAGGCCGAGTTAAGTCTGAGGGTAGCTAGGGAAGCTCTGAGACCTTAAAGCCCAACCTGCCCAGGCCAAAGGGATATTTTTTAAATGAAAGGAGCAAAGGCAAATACGGTGGCCTAATTCCTACCCTTGCTTCCTGGGGCTGTGTTGCACGGGGAAAGCAGAGCAGAATGGCTCGGCATAGGCTGGCTGGTGGAAGAGGAGCTTCCCTTTCCGAGGTACACCCTGCAATATATACATGAGCCACTCGCGTGAAAATCAAGTGTCGCTCGGACTTTGACTGAAGAGGGTACTTGCCGAGTTTAAAATGTAACAGTTACGCTGCAGTAAATAGTTATCCAAAAGCTCTGAAAATGAGGTGGAAACCCTGAAGAAGGGGGTGAATTAGGTAGCTAGTTTCAATATTTTCAATGATTCAAAACTATTACGTAGGCACCGTGTCAAATATAATATTTGAACCTTGGAAGCCCTGACTGTGCAATATGCTTAACCAGGCACCTAGCTTTTAGCACCTGAGCAGTCCCTTTGAAATCAACCAAGCGCATTAGCTCAGAGTGGCCCAAATGAGCAAAGTTGATGAACTGACATTTCTCAGAGCCGGGCACTTATCCAGAACAACAGGGAAGGTGGCCTACACCACCGCTGCTCATTGCCTCCAGAATTTCTACATTCAGCGTTTTTTGACTATCCCATGGGCCATGTTCAAATCTCAGTCAAAATTGGGTCCAGGCGCACTTCGATTTGCCAGGAGAACTCCTAAGACTCTGCTGAGGTGAAAAACAAAAATAGTACTGAAGGAAAATTTCTGTGACCTTGTTAATTTGCCAGGAGTTTTCAATCTTCCTACTGCTGAAACCAGGGTCCAGGGAGTGGGCAACGGAGGAAAAGCTCCAAGGATGTGCACTTTACATTAAGTTCAGAGCATTTTAGCATCAGAATTAAAAACACTCTGAGGGAGAAGAGTTTGACAGTGATGCCTTGGTGTTTGGAATTACAGAAGCTCCCTGACTTACGCAAGCGTTCCATTCTGGAACGCCTTGTGTAACTCGAGTTTTGCGTAAGTCAGGAACGTATCTCTGACAATTACACCCCAAAAAAAGGCACTTCCGGAACTTTTTCCGTAAGTCCAGATTTCCGTAAGTCGGGTTTACGCAACCCGGGGAGCGTCTGTATAGGCTAAAAAGCACCCCCATATTTGGGGTTGAGAAAGCATTTTCCCCCGGATCAGACTGGCAGAGACCCTGGGGGTTTTGTGCCTTTCTCTGCAGCATGGGGCATGGTTCTCTTGCTGGTTTGAATTAGAGTAAATGGTGGATTCTCTATAACTTTAAGTCTTCAAATCCAGATTTGAGGACTTCAGTAGCTCACCCAGAGGTTAGGTGCCTACTACAGAAGTAGGTGGGTGAGGTTCTGTGGCCTGCAATGTGCAGGAGGTCAGAGTATGTGCTCATGATGGCCCCCTCTGAACTTAAAGTCTAGGAGTCTAGGGGGAAATCATCATTGAGCGGGTGTATTTCCAGTGGGGTCCCACAGGGATGGGTTCATGGCCCTACAACTATTTCACATTTTTATCAATGACCTGGAAGAAAACATAAAATAATCACCGATAAAGTTTGCAGATGACACAAAAATTGGGGGAGTGGTAAATAATGAAGAGGACAGGTCACTGATACAGAGCAATCTGGATCGGATGGTAAACTGGGCACAAGCAAACAATGTGTGTTTTAATACGGCTAAATGTAAAATGTATCCATCTAGGAACAAAAAACGTAGGCCACACTTTCAGGACGGGGACTCTATCCTGGGAAGCAGCGACTCTGAAAAAGATTTGGGAGTCATGGTGGATAATCAGCTGAACATGAGCTCCCAAAGTGACTCTGTTACCAAAAGAGTGAACGTGATCCTGGGATGCATTAACAGGGGGGAATCTCGGCGAGGAGTAGAGTGCTTGTTTTACCTCTCTATCTGGCACTGGTTCAACCACTGTTGGAATCCTGTGTCCAATTCAAGAAGGATGTTGATAAATTGGAGAGGATTCAGAGAAGAGCCATGAGAATTAAAGGATTAGAAAACCCGCCTGATAGTGACCGACTCAAGGAGCTCAATCTATGTAGTTTAACAAAGAGAAAGTTAAAGGGTGACTTGATCATAGTTATAGGTATCTACATGGGGAATAAATATTTATTAATGGACTCTTCAGTCTAACAGAGAAAGGTCTGACATGATCCAATGGCTGGAAGTTGAAGCTAGAAAATTTAGATTGGAAATAAGGTGTACATTTTTAATGGTGAGATGAATTAACCTTTGGAACAACTTCCCAAGGGTTGTGGTGGATTCTCTATCGCTGACCATTTTAAAATCAATATTGGATGTTTTTCTAAAAGCTCTGCTCTAGGAATTATTTTGGGGAACTTCTCTGGCCTGTCTTATACAGGAGGTCTGATAGATGATCACAATGATCCCTTCTGGCCTTGAAATCTATGGATCTATTCATCTGACTGGTACACAAAGGAATCTTAGTTAGGCACCCAACTTTCATCGAATTTCAATAGCATTTGGGCACCAAATTCACATAGACTCCTTTGAAAATCGCAGCGAGTCTTTCATTTATAACTAGACCAGAAGAAGCCCTACAAAATATACAGCAGGGAAAGAGCCTGCATTGGAAAAGAAATGGGTCCAAGCAGTCTTTTCAATTTCCATTTTTATAAAGTACAGCAAAGTCCAGTCTGCATGAATGCTGCAGTAAGTTAATTACTTATCTAAACAGAACCGCTTGTTATTGCATAATTGTGCTTGAATGTGCATCATCTAAGAATACCTCCCCTTCTGCCTACGTTGGACATTTTCTAATTGCATCTTCCTCTTGTGAATAAATGAGAGGTGAGCCAGGAAAAGTTCACGGCAAAAAGGATCTGAGGAATTGAAAACAAGTGACACAGTGGCTAAGAACCTGACAATCAAAACTCATTATGGCCACGCATATTAGCTGAGCGACCTGTGGAGTTTAAGCCAAAGATTTCCCAAGCTGTGCTGCAAATAGCAAGTCGCAGCCACAAGGCAGGCAGATTTATAGGCTTCCTGCTCCCAAGGAGATAAAATACGACACAGTCAGAAACAACAGAGAAATGAGTGTGCTGGACGATGCTAACGACTGACGGGGAAGAGAAGAGGAAACTTGTGGCACTATCACAGAGCTATACATCCTCGCGGAACTCGGATGGGTCCCAGGGGGCCAATTCATTTCTATTGGAAGGATCCCACGTCTGGGACTCCAGGTATCAGATGAAAATATCTCAATTTCTACAGCACTAAACGTTAGCACTTGCCAAGTTGTTTTTATTCCCCCCCCTCCCTTCAAACGGTTTCTTCTTTTAGGGCCAATGGAAAATTTATCACAACGTGCAGCTTCCCAGCAGGTTTATTTTGAGCGTGAAGCTGAACTGCTGAGTTAAGACTTACAAACATAAAGTAGCACTTGTAGTAGGGTTAGCACTGGGCCCTGCATATACTATACATATATTTGCATAAAATGCACAGAGTGGTCTCTCTCTAAAACATGAACATTTATCAAGTTACCCCACATATACGGAGACTATTTCCTATTGTGAATATAAGGAAAGCTGGGGCCTGCCAGACACCACTGGGTGGAAGCTGTTAGCAAATTGTGCCTGTTTCAGTGAGCTGGGTCTTGCTTACTGGGCAGGACTTGCTGAGTGGGGGAGGGATAGCTCAGTGGTTTGAGCATTGGCCTGCTAAACCCAGGGTTGTGAGTTCAATCCTTGAGGGGGCCACTTAGGGATCTGGGGCAAAATCAGTACTTGGTCCTGCTAGTGAAGGCAGGGGGCTGGATTCGATGACCTTTCAGGGTCCCTTCTAGTTCTATGAGATAGGTGTCTATCTCCATATAGAGAGAGTATGTCTCCAAGCTGGTGCTGATGAGTTTGAGGAGCGTAGTGGACACAGCACATTCTTTTGGAACCACAGTGATATGTACGTAACAAACCCAAGAAACTGCCTGGTCTCTCCTTTTGTGACTCTTGTGCTCCCTTCCCTCTCTTGCTGCTTTTAGCATTTTTTTGCTCCCTGTAACCTTGATTGTAAACGCCTTAGGGCGGGGTCTGTGCCTGTCAGGTCTGGCTGCACTGCAATAAAACACCGGTGACACCAAGTCTCAGAGCCCAGGCCAGTTGACTCAGCTTGCGGGGCTAAACATGTCAATGTAGACATTCAAGCTCAGGCTGGTGTCTCGGCTCTGAGACCCTCCCCCCCCACGAGGCCTCAGAGCCCACGCTCCAGCCCAAGTCTGAAAGGCTATGCTGCAATTGTATCGCCCCACAGCCTGAGCCCTGCATCAGCTGAGCCAGGCTCTGCGACCTAGTGCCGGGAGTCTTTTCTCACAATGTAGACGTACCCTATGATGCTCGTTCTGGGTGCTGCATAAATCAATCAATCTGTATCGTCTCTTAGGAACCTTTACCTCGGATTTCACTGAAAATATTTCCTCAGGCCTGCCGCTTCGGCTGCCATTTCATCCTCAGACCTCCACTTCACAGGGGTGTCCTCTTCTCCTTTGTCGTGACGCTCCAGCTTAGTAGGAAAACACAAAACAAAGAGCAGAGTTAGTTCATGGTCTCCCAATTCTTCCCCTGTCAGAACCGCCATGGGAGCGGGCGTGTGTGGTATGGATGGACTCTGAGCTAGGCCGTGAATGGTATCAACGGATGTGGGGCAAGGGAGAGAGTAGTATGGAGGTCGAGGGTGAGCACGGATGGATTCTGTATGGTGAAGGGGAAGTCCTGCTCGATTCTGAGGGTGGGAGGGACTGGCAGTGATGTTAATTTGTGAGGGGAAGAGCAGGTATTAATCAACTCTCTGGAGTGAGGCAGGTCAGGAATGGGATAATTAACAGTGACTGTGAATGTGGGGGTAATTGATGGATTGGGATGACAGTTGAGTGTTTTGGAGGGAGCTGTGCTGGCGGCAACCGCTATGACATTTTATAGGAATTTTATGCTAAATTTCCCTCTGGTTTTTGCTTCACCATGCGGGCTGGTGTGGCCCCGGCCCCAAACCTTCCTGCAGAGAGAGGCCCAGCTGCCAACGTGCTACAGAGGACCAATGGTTTATTCAGGCACTTTTCAATACAGGCACTTTTTCTCATCCCCACCCACCCCATGCCAAAAGCGGGATACATACACCCCGTCCCAGGCACAAAACCTCGGCTTTGCCTTTAACCACTCTGTATTTCAGTTGCCCATCCGAATGGGGATAATCGTACGCATGTGAATTACTGAACCTTTGCATAGGGCTTGGCAGATAGGCATACAATGAAGTGCTGTGTACTGCACAGTGAGTGCTAAGGGCGCTCATTGCTGATGTGGCCATTTGAAACACTGTCCTGGACTCAGCGTTGGAGGAGAGACAGTCAGACTTAGTGGTAAAACCTCATTTCACTGGCTAGTCACACATATGTAGCCTCAAAAATAGCTGCCACTGATCATACAAAGAGAATTATTACTGAGGATGGAAGACAAATCAAAAACATTCACATTAAATCCTTATTTTGGCTCCGAAGTATTGCAGATTTTTAATGTGTCTAGGTACAGAACGCGGTGCAGAGCATATTCATCGCATCAGTGCTTCCAAAGAAGAACATTACAATATCAACTTTTTTTGTTGTTGTCACAGCCAGTTGCAGAAAATAATGAATTTGCACCTCTTACTCATGAACAAACGTTATTCCTGAAAATGAAGCAGTTAAGAGCAGAGATGAAAACAATGTTACATTTGCCAAGCAAACTGCATTGCCATATATGGCGTGTTTAGCAATAAACTAGGATTATTAGCATATATCCAACCCACAAATACTTTTATTTGTGCTATATTTCTCCTGCTCAGAATTCTTCTGCCAGCTAAAGTCCTAGGCAGTGTTACATTCTGCTACACAGATTTCATATTCTGCTATTACCTTCCATATCAAGGCAGATACAATAGCTGTAGGCAAATTAAAGTGTATTACTGTTCCACTAGTAGAGAACTAATTTTCATTTTTTATATGAGCTGTAGGTACGTTATAAATCCATCTCGTAACAATTTCACAGGATTAGAAAGAAAGGTATAAAAACCAGGGGAAGGTACATTGCTTATGTTGTCAACCTAGATCCTTTCTGCCTCCAGGACTTGCATCAAAGAGAAGCCTGGATGTTAAGTGTCTTTAAACGAATGCCAATAATCATGAGGCTGCATCTTCAAATGGTGGCATGTGAAGGTGTCTGGGGTTATTAGGGTAACAGTCTTGGTTTCCTGTGTTTCATAGAGGGTAATTAGCTGTAGCCTAGAAAGAATTTACGAGACACCTGCAATCAGTCTTAAAGCCCCCAAAGCTACTAATGGTGCAAATGTGTCATATGGAGAAGCTCATTTCTTCTTGGAATCTCATTCACACACCTCAGGCTGCCCCCTCCATGGTCCCTTTTGTCTGATGACACCCCTTCTCCCATTGCCAGAAGTCCTGAGCAGCATCTTCCTCTCTCTGCCCTGGCCCCCTGTTGTGGTCCTGAGCCACTTCTCTCCCGCGGTCGCCTCCAGGACCTGAGCAGACTTTCCCCTTGTCAGTGCCCTCTCCCAGGCCCTGAGCAGTTGCCCTTTTCTCTTACTCCCTTGAATCCACTGCTACCTAAGAGGGAGAGAGAATCTAGATTCTTCCATTACCACCACTGTCTCCCAGCCACTCAGGGCACTGCCTGCCTCCTGGCTACCCTTCTGCACTCCCAGCTGTCCAGTGAGACACTGAACCAGGTGGGGTTAGGAGAAAGAACTGTGAAAAAAGTCTGCACCAGAAACTTTCCTCTGGGACCTGCCTACCCATTAGGAGCTGGAGGGGGGACAGGGCAAGGAGGGGAGGAAGGAGTCATGGCTCGTGCAGCTGGTGGATGGACACGAGTTGAAAGCAGCCACGCAGTAAACTGGAAATGTGGCAGGGAGGCGTAGGAGCCAGAGAGGAAATCAGAAACCACCAGCAGTTGGGGCACATGTTCTTCCTCGTCCCCACTACACACCACGAGTGGAACCCTGGCCCCTGCAAAGATAGTGGCATAGCTCCGATGTATTCCGCCACCGCCAGAATTACACTCGTCGTGCCCAAGTAATTTGATTATACGGCGGAGCAGTGAAATGTGTGCGAGGCACCTCACACGAGTCCTCTTCTCTCCCGCAAGGAGCTACAAGCTCCTGGCAGTCGTGACGCAGGGCCGGGTCACAAGTCAGCACGCAGGGGTTGGCGAGAGCTGACCAGAGGACGACAACTCCCTTTTGTGGCAACTTCAGAGGTTTCTAAATCTGTTTTCGTTCTGCACTGGAATGAAACCAGACCCCTTCAGACACGGTCATGAAAACAACCTTGTGTCAAAACGTCCATTTGGGGATTGAAACCTGAGTGTGTGTCCTGGTGAGGAGGGCACCAGCATGGGGTGTGGGAGAGCCTGGCTTGGGCCACTGCGCTGCCTGAGTCAGAGGGACCTGGGATGGAAAAGCTCTGGATCAGGCAGAGCAAGGACTTGAACCTGGATCCCCCACATCCCACACTGGTGCCCTGGCCACCTGGCTGTAGGGTACAAGATGTCGCTGAAGCCAGTACCATGAAATGTTCTGGCTCTGACAAAACAATACATTTTGGCAAAATGAAATGTAGTTGAAAATGTTCGGACCAGCTCTAGCGTTGGGGACAGGCAGGCCAAGGGTCACTGTGACAAGGGGAAGGTTAACATTGAGAGGATCATGTGGTTACTCAGCACAGGCTGCTGTACGGCACAGCAGGGCTAAGAGTCTGAGCTGGCTAATTTCTGGTAGGCTTTGAGAAGAGGCTGGAGAGACACCAGTGAGGAGAAGGCCGTGGCTTAGTGGGCCAGCTCAGGAAAGGGTTACACAAAGACGGGGGTGGCCCAGAAGGAAGCTCAAAGATGTTTTGCTGAGAAGTAGATGAATGGGGCATTGAGGTGGCATCACGGGTGGATCAGGGAAAGCAATGAGAGCCGCAGGTTATACGTAGCGAGGGCCATGTCTGTTTCCCTTATCAAATTCTTATTTTTATTGTTTTCTATAAAATACAAACACATAATGAAACAAAATCTATATAAATACACGCCAAAGATGAAAATAGCGTATAAGTAACAAAATTCAACCTTCATTACTTGGAAAAGAAAAAAAACAAAACAAAAAACAAACCAACAAACCTGAACCCTTAGCGATCATGCAGGGTATCTAGGGTGACCAGATAGCAAGTATAAAAAATCGGGATGGGGGTAGGGGGTAATAGGTGCATATATAAGAAAAAGCCCCCCAAATCGGGACTATCCCTATCAAATTGGGACATCTGGTCACCCTAAGGGTATCAATTATTAAAGTGATAAATAAGTGAGAACACAACCTATGAGTGCTGGGGACAACTATATACTAAACTGAAAAAGTATGCAATAGTTTCATGCGTGACCAGACAGCCTCATATTTTTTCCCAAGATTTCTATTAGACAGAGTCCTTTTTTCCATTAATGCAGTAGTAGATTGCTCACTAAGCCAGTCTGTGTATGAGGGAGGAATTGCAGATTTCCATTTTCACAAAATATCTCTTTTGGCCACTAAAATAGTTACTGCAATCCATTTCTAACACCGACTCGTCCAGCACTTCTAAAATACACAAGCTTGGAGAAGGAGAGATAGCGACAAAGTTGTTGAGAGAGCAATACGGTGTTTCAGAACACATGCACTTTTTGATAGCTGTAGAGGATGTGTGAAAGTTGGCATGTGGCTGTTTGCATCTCCAGCATTCGCTGTGTGCTGCCAATCTAGCATTAAACAATGTTCTGGAGTCCAGTAGTACCTGTTTAATACCTTGTTCTGGAAGACTCACAAGGATAAAGAACTTGAAGGCTCTTTCACATTACACCAGATATCCTCCCATGTTTCTGTTGTGACAGTAAAGTCATGTTCTTTTCCCCATATTCTCTGAGTCTGAGATAGAGACGGTGATGCAAAGCACTAAGCCACCTATAAGTAATTCCTACAAAGTGACTTTTGTTTCCATATTTCTTAACATGTTTTTCTAGAGGTGAGAATGTTGGAATGGGCCAGTTGTCCCCTAACCTGCAGTCAATCCTTGGGCATAGCCACTGAAAGAAGGAACTCTGAGACAGCTGTAGCTGATATTTGTTCTACACGTGTTTGAAGGAGGCCAGTCTATCATCTTGCATTATATTTTTAGTTGTTGTTCATCCTTTTTCTATCCAAATTGCCTTAAATGTGGAGCTGGCCTTGATCCTGAGACAGGGTTATCCCATAGAGGTATGAGAAGAGAATTAGTAAGATCGGATGCTGTCTCCATCTTAATGCATTGCAGGATGGCCCATGTAGATGCAAAGATTGGATTTTTCCTTACAGGTATAGGTAGCCTCTTAAGGTATATAAAAGAAGAGAGGGAACCAAATGGCCTAGCTAAGCTTTTTTTCTACCTCAAACCCAGCTGGTGTGCATATAGAGCTACTGGAGTGGACCACCTTACAATAGGACACATTGAAATGCTCGATAATACAGAT